TTCCGCTCATCCAGCAGAGTCTAGGACAAATAAAAGGCGCTTAGTCGACCTAACGACCCGGGCTATAACTATCTAAGCAAACCAGAAGTTGAGTGTTCTTGTTCACGCGAGCGAAGCCTCAAGATCTGAAATAAGCGGCTACTAACCAGTTAGTCTTAATATGCCTCCCAGGGGTTCGATGGCAACTTCCTCACGATATTCTTATTCCGGTGCAAAGACTCGGTATTAGAAACTGCCGTCGGGGCGTCGGCCGTCTTCGCTGACGATGTCCGCCGTGTGCTCTCCAGCAGGGCGGCGAATTGCGCGTCGGTTAGCTTAAAGTGATAGTAGACTTGTGCTGCACTCTATCCTCCTTTCAGGTAAGAGAACAGAATCAGGAAGGCAGGAGACAGTGCAGGTGACTGATGCGACGAGAACCTGCACCTAGGTGTATCATCACACCCCTTGCTCCACAACGGCCGCCAAACAGGATTTTATACACCAATAAAAAAAGAGGTAGCACAGATCCCAATTGGCTCAATGAGGGCCTGCGCCCCACTCCAATGTTGTCATTTTTATAGATGTACATCCCCTATAACGCCTGCAGGACCTCAATCTAGACCCCGTGTTTTTATACGCTTCAGAAGACTGCCTTCACTTAAACGTGGAAGCTAGTTCGATGTACCGGTTGCCTTAAAAAATGTTTCTGCAAAGTAGGTTGAAGAGGAAATACTTCCCAATGTGCCTAGAATTACCCAATCAGAAGAATTTTTCTGACCCAAATGTCTTGTCTGTTAAAATAACGAGGTTGCAGGCAAGTGATGATTAATGTCTCACAGAACACTTTAAAGATAAGCAGATGCGGTCTGTGTACAGCAGTGCTTCTGTATCAATGCATCAAACAGTAACTACGATTCATGCTTTCAGATCTTGAAGTTTAATCACCCAGGCATTGCACAACTACCCTTTACAGAATCTCCAAGGAAAAGAATTCCAAAATATGATACCGAGGTAGCTAACGGCCTATTAATGTCACCTCCGCTGTCAACACATCTCACTGTTGTGCTTTGTACGTAGCCACATAGATGATCAAGGGCAAACATATGGGGTACGCTATCTTCCCGCAAGGTGTTCCATGATGACAGAGAAATTGGCTCTCTGAAAAACTACCTTCTCGGTTAGACTTGGCGCTCCCAGTCTTTGGCACTTTCTGACAGACTATATTCTTGATAGGCTGTGTGAGAAAGATGTTCGGGCACCTTGTGTATGTAAAGAGTAATCTGCGGCTTCTTAGGTCTTCACTCCCAGTAGAGATAAGACGGAGGGAATTACGGGTGTTCCTTCCTATTCTGGCACTCCTACGAAGAGAAACCAGTGGAAAGGCAGTCTTGCCAACAAAGACGAGGTGAAGTGGAGTGACTAGACACTTTGGCGCCGTTCTAAGGCCGCTACTTGTGGATTAAATAGTAGACTAGTCTGTGATGCAGCATTTTATCCTGACCTTCCACTTGTAGCGAACTTTGAGCCTTTTCGGAAGGGTTGCAGAAAGTAGTTCTCACTGTCGAATTTGCGCAGGTAGTCAGCTTTCTACATACAGGCGCTAAAAGGACTGTGGACAAATGGAGAAGGAAAGATGACAGTTTGTGCAAGGCTGCAAGACAATGAGATGTGGTATGATCCGTTTTTCTTATTTTTTATTCACAGGCGAAGAACCAAAATAAACGAACGAACTGAAGTTAATGTTTTTTCTAGAAAGCAGTTAAGGCGAGGGAAACAGGAAATCCCTGGAGTGGGAAGATCACTTCTGTTTGTCTTATGTTGTTGATTTGAACACAAATCTGCCACAAAAAATGCTAGTTTACGGAAAGCCCGACCCACTGGAAAAAGAAGCCTAGGTTTCTTATTTAAGGACAGCGTACTTTTGTATGGCTGACTTTATGGTAATAATAAGTTATAACTGTCGAAGATTCTCCATGTTTCTGAAAATCCTAAACGGTTACAGGTAAGTTCTATTAAGGAGTTTGCAAAATAGCCCTTATTTACACAAAATCAATTGTTGGAATCCTCATATTCGAACGGGTAAAAATTTGGGGTGTCCATTTCCGTGTTAACTGTCAAATTTCGCATGCAAACTCCAAGGTATCATACAACTCAAGAGAATGCCAACACCTGACAGACGCCTTGCGCAAACAGTGTAATCCCCTTCGTAATTTTATCGCGAATTTGAACAATCCTGTCAGCCAAAACTCCTTAATCTGAAACATGCGAGATGTACTTCCAGGAACCTGGCCTTACGATAGAACAGTGTACGCACCCTAATTGTGTCTTGAGTAAAAAGAAGAGGCCCCAATGGGTTAAAGACTCCAGAACACAGCGGAGAGCCGACCATCCCTTCTGCGCTCAGGCCCAATCGTCGTGCAACATTTTAAATAAATTCTGAATGTTTGAGGCGGCAAGCGACCGAGATTGAGCCCAATAGTAGCAGTCAAAGCTACCGAATAGGACAGGGGTCTCTGGTTTTCCCTGCTGTGTGGAATAGCTTTAATTGGCAGTCCAATGGGAAGTGTTTTATTATAATTAAAATACATTTCATTAAGCCGGAACTGCGTAGGAAACGGCGCTTAATATCGTCAAATGGCTGTGGACGCTCCTAGTGTACTTGCGTAGCATAGGTAGGACAAGGAATAAAGAGCATGGAAGGGTGATCGTTTCAAACGGTGTCGGAGCGACGAACAATGTGCTGCTGCATTTGCAATGTTCGTTCTGTTTAAACACTAACTGAGTCTACGATTATTTGAAGACGGTAAATAGGTCGCGAATTGCCATTCCTGTCAGCTCCTGTCCACCATTTGGCTCTCAACCTTCAAAATACTGCCTGCGAGTCTCTACTACAATATGGACCAAGATAGGGTCGTCTCCAACTGAATGACGCATGGCGTGCGATCGTCCCACTTTTTCACCGTTCGTCGTCGCACCCCTTCTGAAGGCATTCCATCTCCCGAACCAGCATGGCCATGTGCACATCCGCGATCCTTACTGACTACCGACTTTCTAGCCAGCTCTGCGACATGACCACCTCAGCTCTTTGCTGGCGAGTGTTTATGCTTTGTGGGAACTAGGGGACAAACCCGGTAGAGGGTGCGACAGACACGGGTCGACATCGCCTTCCGTTCCAGTTATAAATTCCCACTACTTCTCCCCTTGACCACGGGCCTGGCCGATCCGTAACCGCACCCCACCCCATACCAGCCTCTCAAACATGTCCGACATCTGGAGTACTCGAGGCTTACGAGTTTGATTAGTTTTAGCATACATATTCGTCTGCTATCCGGACACAGCCCCCTCTACCCCCCCCCTCTCCCCACGTCCTCCGTGTAAACACAACTGCAGCCAGCTGGACACGTGTGCATTCACAGCATGACTGTTCTATCAGCGGTTGATGAGCGGATCATGCGCGACACTCGAACACTGTTTCTTGAACAGAAAACCACATATGCAGAGGTATTTGGACTTATGAATGAAAGTTCAGGGATTTCCCAGGGTTTCTCCTCTCTATTATCCTCTGGGGTTATCCTAAACTGTCAGGCTCTGAGGTGCTTTATGCGCACTTTGAACGGACAGTGACACCGGGCTGTTCTGTAAGGTGGAGTATCATATTATGTAGTTTTATACCCTATATTATTATGAATGAATATTTTCCTCCTGGATCGGCATTCTTGTGGTGGGGCGTGACCTGACCAGCAAAAATCCTCACACCGAGCCCACAGAAAAGAATTCAGGAACTAATGACCTTGGTCGGCCATCAGACCTGACGCGAGATTTAGATAAGTTTAACCTACTGACGAACCGCGGTTGTTTCAAAAGGTTTATCTTTTGCACCATTTGAATTCCGTTGTCGAAGAAAAATGGACAAGGCAGTGACTAGAGCACGGAGATTCCAGTGAGCAAGTCCACACTCAGACATGGACTGCCGAACCGCGGTTACATGGCATGCGAGGCAAGTGTACCGTCGCCTATGGGTGTGTACACACGCTATAACTGCCATTTCTATCCACTTTTGGGCGCGAGGAATAGCTGTCCCCGATCTAACCGTTGCCGATACCCATTTTTGGACTCTATGTTGCCCTCTGCCACAGCGCCTTCCGCAGTCACCTTGCGGAACCTAGACCGCATTAGCGCTGTCTGACCACAGCGGACAGACTGCGCGCTTATGCGCTCTCCCTTGCCCCACCCCCGTTCTGACCAATGGGCATTCGATCGGGCCGTCGTTTTGTTAATACGCCTAATGACATGCGCCCCACCTCGATCGCAGGGTCTGGCTGGGGTTTGACAAACTGCTGCCCATTAGGACGTGCGTACAACGTCGTCCAACTTTCCATTCCCCCACCCCCCCCCCTCCCACGAGGTCGCGCGTCTCCCAGCGAAGACGGCCGTAATGGATAGGTGGAGAGCGAAATTGCTTCACACTTTGGTCCCGTGTTCCACTGTCCCCCGCCGCTAGCCCCCAATGCTGACAATAAAAAAAGTCCCGACGGGTGACTGTGATGCACAGGGGTTGGTTGAAGGAAAAAAATATCCTCAATCCGCACGTGCATATCTGTTTTTGTGTCGGAGGCTGTTTGCTCGCTTGCATGTATGGGAGTGTGAACTGCTCCAAGACCGTCTGTGTACGGTATGTGCAGTTTTCCGTGACCGAATTCTAATGTGCGGTTGAAACTGGTCCCAGCTGTGACTTTGTATCACGGTTGAACAGCCCAGGTTGCATTACCGTGATCTAGCAGGGTCCAAATGACTCGTAGTCTTCATGCCAAAGCGGAATTTGCCGTAAAGCTGTTACTGGTGGTCTTGCAGTATTCAGTAACCCTGTGGCCCCACGTAGACAACATGCCGATTACCAGCAATCGGTATAATTACGACATTCAATGATGTACATCATCGTGTTTATAGTAGTAGTAGTAGTAGTAGTAGTAGTAGTAGTAGTAGTAGTAGTAGTAGTAGTAGTAGTAGTAGTAGTAGTAGTATTAGTAGTAGTAGTAGTAGTAGTAGTAGTAGTAGTAGTAGTAGTAGTAGTAGTAGTAGTAGTAGTAGTAGTAGTAGTAGTAGTAGTAGTAGTAGTAGTAGTAGTAGTAGGTGACCTCGAAAAATGACGACCCCTTTTGGGTCTGCCCCGATACAATAGTGTAATGCATGCCAAGCCCATCTTTGGCAAGCTTCACGCCTCTGCGCTGTGGTCTTATGGAGGTCTGCGGCGGATTCTGGTGAGAGTGGGGAGGCAATACATGCGTAAAACTTGTGCTGAAGTGTAGACCCTGTGGGTTATCTGTCTCTTTTCTTCCCTTTCCACCCTCTAAGCGATTCTTAAAACCAACTGGCGGCCAGAAACGACTCACAGAGGGTAGGAAGCCCAACTGCACACTTGGGATTGCTGACTAAACCGAGTCCCGTGAATCCGTGACGAACTGGCGCATTCCGTCACGGAAAGCTTCGCCTTTTTGCTAAGCTGTGTCTGACATCAGTGTTGACTGTAACTGTTTTTGGGTCTTGTCCAGAGACCTCCCGCGTTCAGACTGCCTCGTTGTCAGGAAAGTGCATGCATATTTGCGAGTCTGATGCATGAACTGTGAGGGTGAGATCACCGATGCCTACTCTTCATCATGTATTATTTCCTTATTTCAATTTAAAGCCGACACATTCTTTTCTGCTTGGAGAGCTAGGACTGGTTTCAGTGAATAAAGAAAGAAAGGAGACATGTTTCCCAGATCCCAGATTGTGAAGGAAGAGGCCCATGTGATATTCTGATTAAACTCGGGATTTTTCCCAATAGTAGCTATTATAACTGGCACTGTTATCATAAATAACAGCGGCATTAATAATAGCATTGTCACTTTTCGGCAATCACCGGTGCCCTAGTTAGTTAGAAGAGGATTGAAGCTTTTCTAGTAGCATCATTAAAAGTATTCCCGGCCACAGTGCTCATGTAATCTCTAACGATAAATCATCCAGATACGCACGTTCCAAATAATTATATTTGATATGGTTGGCGGAGGCGGGCGGGGCGCTACCTATGGGGCAAGTGCGTTGACTGTCTAATGCTCAGATCACTCCTTGTGCAATGTCAGAACCCGGGCTGTAAAAAAACCAAACTACAGTTCAAATGACACACTTTACTCGGTCTTGTTCATATCAGTATTTCCATTATAGTCACCCGTATGTACGATGTTGTTAGTGATGATTGGTCTGTCCATTTAACCGTCGCATTGATCCAGCGTAGGTAAACTGGCGAGACTGCTCTTAGGCTTAATGGCTAATCAACTTCCTATTGGGGCCAGCTTCTTGCCAGAGCACCATTAGGTGACTTCCCCTCTCACTGGACAACCTCAAGGCAGCCACCACATCCAGGTTTCTGTGGAGTCAAATACGTAAGGCCAAGCAAGCTGATAGAGGTCAGTATTCAGGGGACTGAATCGGCATCCGAAGAATACGCCTCCAATGCCAACTCTTCAGTCCTCGTATGACTTTGTCTAGGGTTCAAAATCCTGAAAGTGGAAGTTATGGTCAGGTTACCCAGTACGCTCTAATAGCTGAGAATGAACGCTGATTTTCAAAGTTGAAGTCGGGTTTATCTCCTTCTACTAAGAGAATGATTGAACGACTTTGGCTTTGTGTTACGATCTTTATTTTATCTGGAATTAATGCGTGAAGTTGAGGCGAAATCCACGGAATAGGTCTTCTTAGGTTCGGCTCAGGTTCGTTTAATATTCGCAAGTGTTAATTTCGTCAGTAGTGCGAGCCCCACTTACTAGGTAGCTCAACCATACTCCCTCTTGTAGGTGTGTCACCATTGCCTATCCTCCACCATTATCAGACCCCGTTGTCTTCTGGATATAGGCCGTTCATTTATCAATCGCTGAGAACCCGGGGTCCCGATAGACTACTCATGCAGGGTTTCGCGTGCAGACAAAAGCACCCTGCCTAGCCTCCTTTGTGATATTGAGTTTACAAAGAGCAGACAGCGAAGGTTGTTCGGGTTCCGTCCCCCCCTCCCCCTCCCTCCCTACAGCTGTCAGGACGTTTCACTCTCTTCCAAAAACGGGAACATCTGTGAGTGGATTGGACACGGGGCCCCATGTCTGCTGAGGGAAGGGAACGGGAAAGCGTGGAAGTGGGACGTGAGGTGTGGTTGAGGGATGTTCTGTTGATTACAGACCCCTGCTCCCACCCTCTGTTCTGTTCGCCAAAAACAAACAAATGCTTTCCGAAGTCAGCCGTTGTTATTTGACGGCCCTAAGTATGGCCACTAGGGATAGATTAACGCGCGTATCAGATGTTCCAGCTTTTGGAGCCGTGGTTTGTTGGGGGGCTATATGTATGTCTGCGGTCTTTGTTGTGAGGACCTGCCTACCAGAGTAGAACGACCGGAGGCTAAGACAACGAAAATAACCCTTTTAAAGTGGCTGTGCAAATCTTTCGTCGTCTTTTTTTTTCAAGTATGTCAGAGTTAGTCAAGACCTATACAATATTGCAAGCACAACATCCAAGATTAGTTATTTTCATGCCAGACATTGAGGTCTATATTTATTTGCATACTTTGAAACCTGTGAATGACTTTCTTCACGAAAAATACCTCTCAGCTTTATTTTAGTAAAGAAAAATGGCGTTTCCCCTCCAAATCGGCGTAACTACTCATCCAGTCAATTCTCCGTTCTAAACAACGCGGAAAAATAAGTCTTTGTACTCTTCATACGCTTGGGATTCTGTCAAGTGAAACAAGTCATGCGTACCAGCTAATTTTATTTCCTATGTTGCGTTTTGAAGTTACCATTTTATTGATTAGTGTACGTGCAGTATACGATGACCTTGCTGTTGTACAGTGACTTTCTCTGTGGAAGTTCAAACCTCTGTATCTTTCTCACTTGTTATCTGTGTTATGCAACGACAGGATGCAGTTGATAAGTCGTCGCGAAATTTACTGGCACCAATAAATTCTGCTTTCTATGCCTGCTTTAAATTCATTCGGGGGAAATATGGCTTCAAGTAGTTCTGTCGATCACTAGTAAGGCATTATCTACTGCCAATATTGAATGGGAATATCTCTCGCATTTTTCGTGTCCTTTTCTGGAAACAGTACGTAAGAAACAGAATTGACGGTGCAGGGAAGACTTGAAATTAAAAAACAACAGACATTTCTATCTTCGCTGTGATTGTAGTTCAGTTTTGCAAGATGTCTCACGACGAGGACATGTACGCGAGGGGCGACGTCCAAGTAAAGTGCTAGAACTGATGATGTCACAAGTCAAACGTAACAGGATTCTCCATATTTTGGATTATGAGATCAAAGACCGTAGGTTTCCGCGAGTAGATTTTAGGAAACAGCTTACCCACGGTTGATTTCGTGCGCACATGGAATATAGTCGAGGAGAGGATAAGTATTGGCGGCTTCTGAGAAAAGAAAAGGATAGAAATAGCCCAGTAGCAACCAAGCAAATATTAATGTTTCTCAGGCGCCTTAAAAGTGCAATTGAGCATGAACTAAACGTATCACCGGACAGCATTTCACAATGTTCCCTCAGACTCAGTTTTGGATAAATGAAGAAGTTCTGCTTTTATCCACAAAACGTCATAAAAGGCACTTCGTGCAGAATGGCTTGTAGAAGACTCCCTTATTGGCCTAAATGTGCGTTGATTGAAATCCATTTGGTTGCGAAGGTTTTGTTTATCTCAGCCTATGACATGCGGTCAGGGCGAAACTCACGAAACTTCGGCCTCTTTAGAACAAACTGCAAGGATGACAACTCCCAATAACCGCCAGCATTGTGTGTTAGAGTTGTCACCAGATACAGAAAGCGTTCAATTCGGCGATGATTCCTGCCAAAGATGCATTCTGGATTAACCCCCCCCTCCCCCCCACCGACAGCCGACTGCAGTGCGCATGCACCTGTCGCGTTTGCTATTAACTCCCGAGTTTATACATTCAGTGCAACATCTGCCGTCCACTTAGTGTCGTATTCCTACCAACTTCGGAGATCTAAGCCCCGTCGAGCACCTCTTCACTCAATTCATTCAAAACCCATAAAGTTAGAATGTACCTCTTCTGCGGCCACTCATTCACATATTCTACCGTTTGTTCATGCCTACTCGTTATAATGCAAATTTGTCTAAGCCCACGAGAGCGGCGTCCGCCGATATCTCCTGCTTGCCAAACGGAGCTGATCAGTTCTTATTCCGGTGCCCAGGACTTAAAGACCTCGCAGGGTGTAGGGAGTAGCAAGCGATGAGTAATCAAGGCATGTTATCAAGAGTGGCAGGGGGCAAGACTAGAATGTCAATTCCTAGTTTATCCGTTATCAGCAGCCAAATACACTGTGATCACCAGGAGAAGCATATCAAGGTGTAATAAAGGATCTATCGGTTACTGGGTATGTCATTTAGGCGCGTAGGATGTAACAGTACTTTCTCTGCAGGGCTTGATCAAAGGAACACGACTCCGACTTCGATATTTCGTTTATCCAATGCATCCTTGTCACCACCCTGGAGGGCAGGCGCATTAAACAGTTTTTCCTATAATTACGCATGAGGCGAGGATAAAACAAATTAAACCCACAATCCAGGGTCCGATATGTACGAGCGGCAGCTCTAGTCAAATGGACCAGATGGAAGATCGTATTGGTCTGTACTGAAATATGCAAAAATGTCAGAAACAGAATCATTTTATCTGTGAACGAGAAGGAAAATAGATGTAAGGTCAAAAGAAGCATTCGGAAACACGAGAGCCAGATTACATGCGAAAGGGTTTGTACGAAGGGAAAAAAGGATGAATAAAAAAGTAGATAGAAAAGTAAGAAACTTTGAGGCGTGACCAAATACTCGAAGTAGAAATACGAAAGGCGGGAATCAAAGGAACCATATGAATTCCATCATACCGAGGTGATTAAGAGAAGGGAGGGAAGAAGAAGAAGAAGAAGAAGAAGAAGAAGAAGAAGAAGAAGAAGAAGAAGAAGAAAGGAAGGGAGACTGAGAATAGGCGATGAAATTAAGCGAAGCAATGGAGGAGGAGATAAAGAGAACGAGTAGGAGAGAGAAAATAGGAACAGGAGAAAAATTAAGAGGATTGAAAGATTGATAACGGTCGACAGAAAAGGATAAAGGGCCAATATAAAAGAAACGGGAGGGAAAGATGGAAGTTATATGCTTTACAACTGAGACTTGTCAAATTATCTGAAACCGTAGGACCGCATAAGTCGCCGACCCGCGTGGGCTAAATCGCAGTTAATAGCCAGGAATGGGGAAGCGGACGGCGACCCTAACCCTAATCCCAACCCTAACCCTAACCTCAACCTTGAACGTTAACCGGTAACCCTTACGGCAACCCTAACCCTAACCGAAATCGTAAACGTAACCGTAGTCCTTAGACAAAGCCGTAACTGGAAAACCTAACCGTAATACTGAAACCGAAATGTACGCTCAAATCCTAACCGTAACCCGAAAACCTAAGCCCAAGGGTATAACCCTAATCCGAATATCGGAAACCATTAGCCAGTACCCTAATCCTAACCTCAAACATAAAACGGAAGCCAAATGTGTCCGATGTTATTATGGAGCCCCACTAAATAGCCCCTGTAAACAAAGCCCCCAGCCATCTGTAAAACGGGGGCTGGCTACCAACTGCGATCTAGTCCTCGCATGATTTACTGGTGTCCTGAGCTTCTCTGTCCGTTCGCCTATTGTAGAGGGGATTTGTTTTATCATAGCATACTTAAAGCGGAGATAGGGACTAGCTGATTCCGTATAGACCGCTGTTGGTATTACTCACACCATATTTAAATTGCTATGGGGATATCGGTAGAACACATTGTGGTAACAAAATACACATGTTCAGTGTCCGTGGATCTCGAACGCAGACTACTTTGTGTCACCACCTGTAGAAGATGTATTATAACCAGCCCCCTAGACAGCTTTATCTTGTACACTGGTAATCTCACAAGCTCCTCAGTGCAACTTAGACAACCTGTAAATTTGGCCTGTCTTCGCATTCGCCGCCTGAAAATCGGGTGCCTCAGTTATTCGCGCGAAGTGTTCATTGGGTGACTTGGCGGTCGCGCTGTGGTCGCCACAGCTCGCACCCTCGAGGGGTCGGCGCTATCTGCAACTTTATTGGCCAGTTTTACCCAATCCAAAGACAAGCAGTGTCGCGGACGTGTGAGCTGACCAATA